TGAAAGAATAACCAACATGTTATGATCTGGAAGACAGCGTGAGGGAAATTCAGACAATTTTGACTTGACGTAGCCAGCTTTTTGGGCAATGGCAACAAGTTAAATCTCTCCCAAATACCCTTTTCGTGCCTTTTATAGTAGTAATACAACATTTACTGCCACTACTTTTGAGAAGCCTCATATTTGACTACGTAGACGGATTCTCTCACTTTTTTCGCAACTGATGCACTACTCTACAACAACACTTTTCATCTTCAAATGGGCACTTCGAAATTATCCTGAATTAGATTTATCAAATCACTAATCAGGAAGGCGTGCAGCTTTGCTCACCCTGACATATCGTCATAAGTGCTTACTGACCGCTACATTCGAAAATCGTATAATGGTCTCTCCATATACTTCATTTGGGTCGCCATGTATTTTTGAGCCCGTCAAGAGGGACTACAATCAATGTTGTTGAATTCTTTCTGCGAAAAAGCTTCTTCCTTTCTGTTTTGACGGTCCTGAAAATGGCCATCATCACTTTGACCCATCGCCAACAAACTTATGAGAGATAGAAGTCTGCAAACTGACATTTCTGAAAATATCAAGGATATTAAGGACCTCGACATTTAAAAAGATAAATAGATTATTCTATTCTTCATTTTCGACATCACTCATAGCTTTTTTTCCAGCATTAGTAGCGAAAGGGTCAAAGAGGGTCAAACATTAATAGCGTCATTCACCAAAAATGGGAAGATGTATATGCACGTTCGGTAGATTTATCTGGAAGCACATAAAACCAAACTTGCTCATTCAATATCATATAAGGAAGGAGTAGAAAATCGTAGTAAATAAGTAACATATAGTACTTCACAGTTCGGTACCAGTTATCCTGTGTAGCACCGAGTACATACACCCAACAAATGAAGAAGGTCAGTTCGAAAGCAGATGCTAGTGCTGCCTAGGAAAGTCGTCGTATGAATGTGCATAGAAATAATTTTTTCGACCGCACACGGGCAATTGTCTTCTAATATAGTAGATTGGATTAAGAGAACAGGAAGATAAACCTTGAATGTTTCTCAGTCCTATAGGCAAGCCTTGCAAAAAATTGATGCAGAAGAAGTGCAAATTAACAGGATGATAACCAGACTACAAGAGTAGTGCGCAATCATGAGGCGTATATCCTAGTGACGCTTGGCCGCGTCTTTAGATTCCTTGAAAACTTCTTATGCTTCAGCAACTGCAGGCATCAAGTACGCACCAGAGGACCAAATGTCTTGGAAATTTGCAGCAACTTTTCGCGATTCAGCGAAGAGACTGGCAAAAAAGCTAAACAAGCGACTGTCTCCCCTTTTTGCTGTCCATTCGAAATATGTGTATCCCAAGCCAACAAATTTGAAAGCTTCTCCCGAATGTAACATTACTCGGCTCACGATCAGATTGTTCTCTGGAATAGAATCCTTTTTACCTGGACAGTCATCTGTATTTCTCTGTTGCTTTTGAAGGTTAGAGATTCTCTAATGAACAATGTAGCAAACATAATAGTGTAAGCTGCCACATTCCCTATACCAGCCGCATAACAAAATAGCCGATCCATCCTTTGATATCAACAAACCATGAAAGAAATGAATTGAAAAGAATTGCCCACAATTGGACCCACAATGCAATAGCATTCCGAAGAGGTGCTTGCTCAGAGTAGAAATGGAAGAGAGCTGGGCAGAATTTCACAGATGCCAACGGTGACAAAGTAATCGCCATGTATACGATATAGAAAAGAATAATAGAAGCGATACATAACTGCAAATAAACGATCAACCCCCCATCGTTATGATACAATTGATAAAGAAACTTTTCATACATTTTTATGAAAATTGCACACCACAGCTAGATGTAAGGTGAGTAGTGGTTTCAGTTTTTATACTCATAATGTTACAGGTACAAAGTACATGCCTACTCCTCCACATTTTTTAGTGACCACTTTAATCAGTCGAAACCAATGTTTTAATTTAATAAATTCTCTAATAAAACAGATACTGTTCCATAAGGTGACGGCATTTAAAACACTCCACTATCTTCTCAGCCCTTCGATTTCATTATGGGATTGCGTTATTATAATTAGAACGAGATGGGAATCTAGTAAGTTACCCTTTCAACTGTTGTCGTAAGAATAAATTGTGATCTGAGCGGAAGTAGAGTATACAGTAGACGGTGAACTGTCAGACACAAATTGGTGAAAACGAAGGCGAAGAAAATGCTTGCATAATTGGAGCCTGTAACCTGAAGAACAGAATGGATTTTTGAGTTAACAATTCTGCAAAGATTCACGTTGCTACTTATAACTGAGAGAAAATTCGTAATGAAAATTTTCGTAAAGGGTCGATCAAGGGCACTATTAGGTAATGGAATAATTTTCAAGGGTAAACTAGATAACTTCCAGAATGAGGATTGAGAGTATATGCAATAACCTTCTTCATTTATTGAAATGTAAGGAGGGTGACGGGAAAGAAAGAAGGGAATCTTAGTATGTAAATGCAGGTCAGTCATACGGGGTATGGGATAGGGGCGGAGGCGAATACGGATGTTAGATGTGTTTGATTAAAGAGATCTACATGTGTAGATGAAACAGTACCTTTGAAAAATCAGGTGAAACAAAGAGCAGAAGTCCATGAATATATGATACCAAGAATCCTATGTAGCTAAGAAAGCTGAATATTGCCATAAGCTGAAGAAGAAAAAAAGCAAAGTCGGACTTCCATCCCTTCATTTTCTGGCACGTCTGAAAAAAATAATTCAGCTCCGAATCATCACATATATATTCAGAAACGTGGTGGCGCTCGAAGGGGTATTTAGCTACAACTACTAGCAGGGATCTGTGGATGTGAATCCAGCTCAGTGCTTCTCTTCCCCAGACAAGTCTTTTACCAAGTAAAAACACCGGAGTGATGGAAGACTTGCTCAGGAACATGCGCGTATGATAGTGCGCCTCATACCACTATACCATTTTGGCTAATAGTAACAATACATCTAGGATCAAATCGTAGTATTTTTTTCAGGTTTTCATATTTTTACAAACTAAGAGCTCTTACTATAGCGAAAACTGCCTGTAGCGCAATGGAGACAATGATTGTCACGGTGCAAGTTGCCACATAAAATGTACGGGCTGAACCAATCAATGGAGGAGTAGGAATAGAGCAGTTGAAATCATCCATCACACTATAATAAACAGAGCATTTGAGCTGGTAGACGGACGTCCCATCGATATTTTTCGAAATTCGCTTCGTGAAATCGGTAACCTTTTGAATAGAAATTGTGAAAAAATGGAAATATTTACCAGATGTTAATTGACTGGTACCATCGCCTTATGCAGCGCTAAGGCATACTGGGCATTCGCAAAAATTGATGGGAACCATACAAGGAGAATTACGAGAAGAAACTAGAATTCTCATCATGAAGAGTTGAAAAAAACATTGAAAGCACCGAAAAGAGGCTTTTATACCGATAGCTATTGACTTCCCTTGCGATGATAATGGAAATCTGGAAGAGCTCTTAAAAACTAATGTTTTTCAGAGATTTGTCTGGCTGTATGCTTACTTGCATGCGAGGTTATTTTACAGCTTCAAAGTCCACGAATGTGCAAGGTACTCATTCGATATGGAGTGTAAACGACATGAGAAGCTGCAAAACAAGGTGAATATGNNNNCTACGTGGTGGGATGGTAGATTCGGTGATTCAGTTGCGCAAATACCAAATTATCCACTTGTTACTACCATCAGAAGAATCACAATCAAGAAATCGAACTTTTGAGCCCCTGTACCGTGAAGTACCGATTCACGAAAACGAGAGACTTTTCTAGAGATCGCTCATCACATAAAACGGTTTAGCAGCGATACGTTCAGCCTGTAGTACTTCAGAAGCCCCATACTAAAGGCTCAGTTAACAACTTCAATATCCATAGGATATCTAGTTTCGAAAAAACAAAGAATGTGACAGTCCAGAAGAGAGCAAAAAGGCGAAAAAAAGAAAGCATTTCGCAATCACATCGAAAATGGTATAGGGCCGTAAGAATGAAGGGAAGTTTGGACGAGAATGTGAGGACAAATGAAAGGTTGCAGGGGAGGGGTATTTGGACTATCTGTTGAAGAGCTCAAATTTAAGTTCATCACGTTTGCAAAATGACTCAAAAAGGAGTTTCTTTGACAACTGAAAATGCAATATAATATATCGAACGAATGAAAAAAAACTCCTCGAAATCCACAAAGAGTAAGCAGGGATTACAGTGGCTACATTTGATAATTAATCTCATGAAACCGTGGGAGTATTATATCTGAGGAAAAGTTGGCCATGCGATGTTTAAAATGAGCAAGAGAAAGAGTACCTGGTGCATTCATAGCTGAGTTCATGTAACAGCTACTGGCTTTAAGGAAAATTTCCTGAAACTCAGATTTTTTGTATTGTTTCAAGGTGAACGAATACTTCACAAACCCCTCTCCCGTGATTGAGCCAAATTAGAGATATCGAAACGTTTCCTTGCATATATGTGTGGAGAGTCTGTGGGTGCAGTTGGTATTCTGCGGATAGTTTAGCATAACGAAGACAAAAAGACCAAAAAAAACACGTAAAAAGATTCAAAACCTGTTATAAAAGAAAAGGGGCTAACGAAAAATAGTGCGCCCCATTCATCGGGGGGAGGCAGGCTGAGTACGGTAATGGAGCTGCGCGACAACTAAAAAAGATTCGCAGCGTGCCGTACAGCGAACTGCCGCGATAGGGGAGAAGTTCCGTTACCCGTATTCTGCCCAATGCCCATGTTTTGGTGGCGGCCCAGAGGCGACCGCAGCCAAAAGCCTGCGTTTGAGTGGCTGGGAAATATCTGGGAGGCGATTCGGGCCGCCACTTCTTTTGCTTCTCAGTGGAGAGAGCGCCGTAAAGTTAAATGGGACCACTCCTCCCTCGAGTGAATGAGAAGATTCCGTTATCGACAACATCGATGGAGAATACAACCGGCTCGTCGAACGAAGCTATGCAGAGAAGCGATAAAGGAAGTTCTGAAAGAGAGAAGAGCAGCAGTTATGGACGAAGCCGCCGAGGCCGGAAAGAGCATTCGCAAAGCCCGACGGAGCTTTGCCAATTACAGGACCAAGACGACTTCTTTTCGTAGTCCTGACGGAACCATTACTGCTTCCCGGAGGGCAATGGAGAAGGTCATTTACAACTTCTTCTCGGATCTCTTCGATAGGTTCGTCTACCTGTCTATCCACCATCTTAGGCAAGACGAGTGCATCGCTCCTTCGGTTCTCCCTTGCGAAATACGACATGCCATCACGTCGATGAAGAGCTGAACGGCGCTCGGTTCCGATAGGATCAAACCAGAACATCTGAGGAGTCTTCCACCAGTTATCGTCAGAACTCTGAATAGGCTCCTCTTCACGCGGTACCTTTAGGAATGCAAAGTGCCTGCGTGTGGAAAACGAAAAAGACTGCGTTGCTGTATAAAAAGGGAGATCCAGACGATATTGGCAATCGCCCAATCTGTCTGCTGTCTGTAATCCACGACCTTTTCACTCGCGTCATCCTGAACAGAATTGGCAGAATATTAGATGAAAACAGCCATGCGAGCTAGCAGGATTTCGGACAGGGTTCAGCACAATCGATCATATCTCCACGCTTATAAGACTCATCGAAGTATCGCGAAAGTACAAATTGCAGCTATGTGTTATGTTCATCGATTTGAAAAAAGACAGAAGCAGTAATTGAAGCCCTGGGCAACCACCCTCGTGTTCCTACTCAATATATAAGTATGCTTCGTGAGCTCTACTACAACTTCACGACCAGGACTTCACCATTCTACAAGGAAGTCATTATCAACGTCAAAGGAGGTGACCGGCAGAGAGATACTATTTCGTCCAAGCTTTTCAGTGCCACTCTCGAGAATATCATGCGTTGTTAGGAATGAGAACACTTGGGAGTAAAGGTAGACGGCCGTTACCTACATCATCTCCGCTTTGAAGACGATATTGTGCTTATAACATCGAACATCGAGCAGGCGGAAAGAATGCTGGCCGAGTTTGACAGTGCTTGTAGAAAGATCGGCTCGAGACTGAACTTAACAAAGACGATGTTAATGAAAACATGAAAAACGGATTGATACCTGATGCTTCCTTCACGCGAAACGGAACGAATGTCTCCGAATGCTCTGGCTNATGTGTATCTAGGTCTGGAAGTCAACATGATGAACAACCTGGCTCCGGAGCTGTGCAGAAGGAAACGTGCAGCGTGGAGAGCATTCAAGAATATAGAGGGAATAGTGAAGAAGACAAAGAGCATCCGGCTTAGCGATCATCTTTTTGACACTGCTGTCCTTCCTGCTTTGAAGTGCGCCTTGGAAAGTCGGACTCTACGAACTCGAAATTTTCCTCTACACGCAAGTGCTAAAGGAAATTCGGAGGTATAAGAAGGTCGTTGAGCAACGAGCAAATATCAGGGACGCCGTTGATTACGCTAGGAAATCGAAGATCAGGTGGGCTGGACACGTTATGCGATATATTGATGACCGTTGGACCAGGGTGATTACTGTCTGGATCCTTGAGGACATCAAACGAATTCCAGGATAGCCGTCAACGAGATGGTGAGACTTCTTCACGGAAGTTCCGAACGAAAGGAATGTTGAATCTGGTGTCTCTGAAGCTAGGATGATTCACTGGACCACTCTGGATCGTGACAGGGACGAATGGAGACGTTGGAGACGTTTTCGGCGCCCGCTCGAGGAAGTCGATGATCAACAGGACGACAGGTGATGGAGGCGAATCATATCACACGTCTAAAATTCTGCGCCTGGACCGTGCTGAGTGTAACACTATTCACCTTTTCTTGATTTCAGTTTTTTGATATCTCGGGGAACAAAAAGCCTGTATTTGACTAAGTAGTTTAAGAGTAGAGTTGTTTTGTCATTTTGGCTGCATGAATATTTTTCGTTGCTGTAAGATTGAAAACGTGATGTTAGATCTCACCCAGAAGTCACATTGGGTTTTCTAGGCTCGTTACCCATTTGGAGTTGTGAAATGTGCGTACCTGGGCAATTGTGACTTTTTGTTAATTGTAAGATATACTGAGCTATTGTATTGCAGCCTTCACCAGATTTCACCGTGAAGGGTGCACCATCAACCAAGTATGAAGGTTAAGGAGGCAGAACTCCTGGCATAAATTCATGTACGCGGTTTCTTACGCGGCCACTAGCAGCTGCTTTTTTTT